CAGGCATAGATCCAGCATTTTCTCTAATTCAGGCATAGATCCAGCATTTTCTCTAATTCAGGCATAGATCAAGCATTTTCTCTAATTCAGGCATAGATTAAGCATTTTCTCTAATTCAGGCATAGATCAAGCACCGACTACTGGAAAGCTTTGAATGTGACAGGCTGGAGAAATGAAATCGAGGGTTTACGCAAAATGATTTCACAATTTGCTGCTATTCCCAAAGAGGAGATTACAGGTATCTTATAAATAATATATCTGCTACTGTTGTTTGGCAACGGGGGGTAGTTCCTCTTTGAGCTTTGAAATTATCTGATAAAGGGAAATCTGATAGAAATTATCCAGTAATTTTCAGGAATCATACTTGTTAAAGTAAGTTGACGAGAGAATGCCGCAACTTGATCCAAAGACAATTTTCAAGCCATCCCTCAACTTTTATGTTTTGTTGGACACCCTGTTTATATATGTGTGATTGTCACTTTTATGTGAGCCCTAAAAAGTCCTTAACAGTGCGTCCTCTTGCAATAGAGAATGTTGACAACTGTCCGGACAGTTTCAAATATTCTGTTAACTTTTAATTGGTAAAATTTTCCAGGATTCAGGGCCCCATTCCTTCAGCTTGGAGGTGATGAGATGTTTACTGCTCTTCAACAAGATGGTTTTAAATATGATTGCTCTTGGGCAAGCAGAGATTATGGTTATCTCAAGCTAGGTATGTCTATAAACTCTAAAGGCAACTAGAAAGATATGACGATCCCAAAGTTAAATTAAATGTTCTGCCTGACGCAGAGTGTTATTAAATGGTTTGGTAAATTAATAAATAAGTTTACAGAGGCAGGGAATCTTGAATAAGGGAAACAGACTGTATCAGAAGTATCAATCCTTTTTCATGTTCTTAATCTTTTCTTTAAATATATTTCTTTAGATGTTGGACTGTTTCCATACACCTTGGATTATGAAACTGTTCAAGTAATCATTTTTAATCATATAAATTTTACTTCTCTTATGACGCATTAAAGATATTTTAGGGCATGTCTGCGTAATTTCAAATTACTCCTCAATAAATAGATTTACATGCGCCGCGATACCCCTTAAAAGTTTTTTACAGTAATGTTCATCTAAAAACTTTTCAACTACTTGGTAAAATTAACTTGCAGAAAGGTGCAGCAGAGACAATGAATAAAATTAACTAAATTTTAGGATTAAAAATTAATAGTTGATAACTTTTCATTGTCACTAAGAGAAAGATTTAAGGACAACGTTTCAAGGCTGCATCAACATTTTGAAATGGCGGGTCACTTGAAATTACGTCGGTAGTTCCTTTAACATAAAAAAATAGGTTTAATTACTTCTATTAAAAAATTAAATTTCAAATAATTTAAAAAGAATTTCAGGATTGTCCAGTTGAACCTTGTCCAACCTGTAGCTATCCTGGACTATGGGTTCAACCAATGCTTGATCTAGAAGATCGATGGATAGGAGCAGATCCAACCCATCCTAACAATGGCATGCCATGCAGTATGCTGGATGCTTGTATCATGTAAGAACTAAATATCCTAACAATGGCATGCCATGCAGTATGCTGGATGCTTGTATCATGTAAGAACTAGATATCCTAATGATGGCATGCCATGCAGTATGCTGGATGCTTGTATCATGTAAGAACTAAATATCCCAACAATGGCATGCCATGCAGTATGCTGGATGCTTGTATCATGTAAGAACTAAATATCCTAACAATGGCATGCCATGCAGTATGCTGGATGCTTGTATCATGTAAGAACTAAATATCCTAACAATGGCATGTCATGCAGTATGCTGGATGCTTGTATCCTGTAAGAACTAATTATCCTAACAATGGCATACCATGCAGAATGCTGGATGTTTGTATCCCGTAAGGACTAAATATCCTAACAATGGCATGCCATGCAGTATGCTGGATGCTTGTATCATGTAAGAACTATATATCCTAACAATGGCATGCCATGCAGTATGCTGGATGTTTGTATCATGTAAGAACTAAATATCCTAACAATAGCATGCCATGCAGTATGCTGGATGCTTGTATCATGTAAGAACTAAATATCCTAACAATGGCAAAATATTACCCTTTCCATATTGGAAATATTACCTTTTCCATATTGGAAATATTACCCTTTCCATGTTGGAAATATTACCCTTTCCATAGTGGAAATATAACCCTTTTCATATTGGAAATATTACCCTTTTCATATTGGAAATATTACTATGTTTAATGTTTATATACCAGGAAAAATAAGATTTTATAATTACAGCATGGATGATGTACCGACCAAAGATACTGTAAAGGAGATGTTAATGACAAATTTCCTGAGGAACAGAAATGGAACCAGGTATTTAAAAACTTGCTTGAAATAAAAATTTTAAAGTTTTTGTCTATGTTTAAAGAGCATCTATGATTATAGAGCTCATATGTTAAAAGAGCTCCTATGTTTAAACAGCTTCCATGTTTTAAGAGCTCCTATGTTTAAAGGGCTCCTATATTTAAAGATCTTCTATGTACGAAGAGCTACCTTGCTTAAATGAGTGCCTATGTTTAAAGAGCATCCATGTTTAAAGATAACTTAGGTTAAAAGAGGTTTTATGTTTAAAGAGCTCATATGTTCAAAGAGCTTCTATGTTTTAAGAGCTCCTATGGGTTTGTACATGCATGCTGGTTGGTTCTATGGTGAATATTCCTGGCATTATGAAGGATACAAGGATTTTCTACAGGTATTAATCAAACTAGGTATGATCTTCAAGCCGCCATATTTTTATCGTACTCTAAATAACAAAAAGTTTTGCAGATTTTTTGTTAAAATTTAGTTATTTTCAAATTATCATTTTTGATCTTCCATAAACCTTTGCTGTGGTCATCTGAGTTGCCCAAATTTTTGCCCCAATCGGTTCAGCATTATTTTATACAAAAATAATGTTTAACTGTAGATTTTAACTAAGATTATTCCAACCTAATCCAGGAAATCACAGAGAACTATGATGATGTTTGGATTGTCCCCGTGAATGCTGGTCTTGACTACTTCCAAAATCATAACAATCTCACCAATACTGAAATCCTGGCACTAGGAGATGACAGTCCCTTCAGCTGTTCTAAATTTTCCCAACCCCCATACAGCAATAGTAGATGTGATGCTTTAACACCCTGCAGGTAATATTTATACATAGTATACTAAATCCAACCCCCATACAGCAATAGTAGATGTGAGGCTTTAACACCCTGCAGGTAATATTTATACATAGTATACTAAATCCAACCCCCATACAGCAATAGTAGATGTGAGGCTTTAACACCCTGCAGGTGAGGCAGGGCTGGTGATTTTAACCTTAAAAGGGGGGGGCCTTGGTTCTTGCTCGTAACGCTCTCATTGCCCCCACATTCCATGCCTTTTTAAGATAAAAATTATTTTTTTTTATTTGCAGAAGTATTGGTACGTCTTAGTCATGTCCTAGATAAAAGTTTACACCGAAGATTTAGAAAAGAACGATTTTCTAAAAATGGAGTTTCGTGAAAGAAAATGCAAGACATTGAACAAAAAAATTTAGTTTAATGTGTTATGAATTGTGATGGGAAAATTTTCTGTTATTTCTTAGATGGCTTTAGGTTTTTGATATTTTAAAAGAATAATGTTTGGTTCGTTTATTTCATGTATCTTTTCTCAAGTTTGAAATTTGTTATTGTGAGAAAAGTAATTTTTTAAGAATAATAGTTTTTGAATTAAAAAAAAATCTTAGTGGAACAAGCCCGAAAGCCTTAAGTTATTGATAATGTAGGTATGAAAACGTTACAAATGCAGACATCCATGATCAAGAAAGATATATGCCTATCTGTGGAAGAACATCAACAAACACTCCCCAAAAGTGTCCGGTAAATAAAAGTATTATTATTTTTTTTTTAAATTATCGATACTTTTGGTTAAACAAATATATTTTTAGGAACGGTATCCTTGGCTTGAGGACCCATGTGGAGGAAATTCTCCATGTTTGTGATTTATTTTTCTAAAAATCAATAAAATTTATTGAAATCGATATTTTAACCCATTTTTTTGAGCGAGTGTGGCTTTAAAGATAAAAGATGGCGCATCAGAGGAATAATAGGTAAAAATTATTGGTTAACATTAGCTGAATAATTTTGAGTAAAGAGACTGTAGAAGTAGTTCTTAAGTGACTCTCCATGGCATGTTCGATATCTGATTCAGAGCAATAGAGTGCTTACGTTCTATTCTTTCTGTTTGTCAAGGAATCTTCCATCTGCTAAAGGAATTTTAGGGTCTCAAAATGTTAAAGAAACGTAACCCAGTCTCATTATTCCTTTAAAACCATGTAACAATGGTACTTTTGCATTGGATTCATTTCACCTTGATCAGGATTTTTTTTAAATGGATAAAGTTAAAACAAAAATGGTCTGCCGCCTTTCTTCTAATATTTCCGGGATTTAATGAATAACAATAGATGTATAGAATAGTAAATAGATGTATTTCAAACCTGCAATAAAATACAAGAATAGTAAAAACAAATGACGATTTTTAAATATTATTGGATGGTTCAATAGAATATCTTACTATTTTATCCTATCAGGGTGATAAGTAGTGATGAAGGATCAGGGGTTGTGATGGAATAGTTTAAAACAATTGTAAATATTTCTAAAATATAAACCCGATTGTTTATGTGGAATTTACTATGATGGAATAGTTTAAAACATATTTGTAAATACTTCTGAAAATATGTACCTGGTTGTTTGTGTGGAATTTACTGTCATGGAATAGTATAAAACATTTGTAAATAATTCTAAAAATATAAACCCGGTTGTTAATGTGGAATTTACTATGATGGAATAGTATAAAACATTTGTAAATACTTCTGAATATATACACCCAATTGTTTATGTGGAATTTACTATGGATTGCAAAGTTATTTGTGGATTTGATCTTTCACTAGTAAAACGTTTCACTGATTGTATTTTCCTTTTGTTGGAGAGTACAGAGAAAATTGACGTAGAATTGCTTTGGTTTGGAATTTCTCCGGGGGGTTTTGGTAAAGACGACTTACGGGGATGGGTTTAGAAGTTGCAGGGTGGCCAAAATGTACGGATTGTACGGATTGATTTTTTTTTAACCCTAAAATTGTACGGATTGTACGGATTTGTTTTCAAATTGTACGGATTGTACGGATTTTATCCTGGAAAATACACCAACTTTTTTGTGTTGGTTCATATTTAAACAAAGTGGTTCAACTTAGTTTATGTAGTTTAACTCGATACTGAATTTCATTAATTTTGAAACAAAGCTAAATTAATTCAAAAATCAATATCTTTGTAAAGCTTTGCAATGCTATATTTTTACAAACTTATAAGCCGTTCAACTTTTCTTGTTGTAGATCTATCCAAAATCAAGACCAATCTTTAAACGCAATCTCTCATTTTTCATCTTAGTATAGAATATCTTGATCACATGTGCAGGTTTTACCTTCTTATAGTGCTGTCATCGTTCAAGTTCAAGTGACCCTCCATGAAAAGATGACAATGCCTGATTCTCAACGGTACCATTAAAAGCTATATGAAATATCAACGTTAATGGTTTTGAAAACTAATTATTTTCAATTTTGGGGTCTCTATTAAAGTGATTTACGCATTTCTTCTGCAAGAAAACATGTAGGAGCAGGGGCGTACGAGAGGGGGCTCTTTTAATATTACATCTGCTTGCTTTTCCCTTCCTTAAGCAATCTACATTCTACATTGCACTCACCCAAACTAAAAAATTAAGAAAAGAATTAAAATATGATCTGATTCTCAACAATACCTTACAAAGGTTTTTCTGATAAAGCATTGCATTAAATATCCATGTTTCCCATTTTGAACATTTCTTGCTCCAGAAACGATGGAGAAATGAAGGTTTCAAAGGTTCATCGGACATGCCACTCTACAAATGGAGGGTCACTTGAAATTACGCATGTATTCCATTAAGTATAATTACATCGTATAGGAAAAAATACTTTAAAATCTCACTTTTGCCCTTAACTAAAAAGGTTTCATTAGAAAAGCTTTAATCAATACCGCCTTCAGTGTAATTATATTTTGATATCATAATTTATTAAACATTTTATGTATCGATCCTATGAAAATATAGATATTTTCTTGATGGAAACCATCTCTATTTTTCATCCCTTGAAGCTTACATCACAGCATTAAGAAGGGAGGCTTGTCCGATGAGTCCACGTAAGAATATTATATAAAAAATTTATTATAACACTTGTAACATGGAAGTGTGTTTATGATCGAATAGTTTACATAGTTAAGAAAGGTATTAATATTTTTTTAAGTGGTTTTTAGAGGGGAGCACAATGTTTCCAAGGGGGGGGGGCACAAAAAAATGTGCCCTCCATCTACTCAAATGCTCTCGTACGCCTCTGTGTATGAGTCATCGTAATTTAACTCTTTATCTTGAAAAATTACAATATCTTCAACATTACTGAAAGGATAATGGTTTTAAGGGTCACTTGAAAACACACTTACAGTCCCTTTAAAAGTGCCATTTTTAGTTTTGTTGAATGTAGGATTCATATTTTCAACAAATATCTAAAAGTACAGACCAGCAGGGCTGGGGCAACAAATCTAAACAGCTATGCAGTATGCACATTAGAATTTCAATGACTGGACCAATTTTGAAGTGTCCCAAGGGATTACCCTAAACATATTCTTTGAAGAACAATACCCCGTATAAAATACGTAATTGGCAAAATCCTTATCGTTTTTTTGCGTGAGAGCGTGCCGCGCCGTTTTGGTTCATTGTGGATTATGGGACTTAGTGTTTACTTATCTTATTTACTAGGTTAATAGGTATTTCTGTGACTATTCAGGATTTTTTTGCAAAAAAATTTCTAAATGAAAAAAATACTTTAAACTGAAATATAGCTTGAATTTAATTTTTTCGATTGTCTAGATTTTGGATAAGTTTAATTTTGCTAAAAATTTCTGAAAACAGAGGAGTCGAAAGAAAATTCTGTGTTAAAACAAATTTTGTTATCTAAATGTGACGAACATTGATTTATTATCTCTTTGTTAAAATCCTGAATCTTTGTCAAATTATATCATTCTCTGAAGGTAAGGCCTTTAATACAGCAGTAAAAACAGTTCATATGTTTGGCACTTCAAAAAGTTATGAAGCTGCTTGATAACTTTTTGAATCTTTCAAGAGTCGAAAATAGTCTTACATGAAGGTTCATCACTTACTAGTTTTATTTTGTACGAAGTTGTCTGGCGTTTTCAATCTGACATATTATTTTTTTCAAATTATAGCCAAAGCCATGAATACTCTTTTTTGACGGATTACAAAGTGTAATTATTAGATTTGTATGTCATGACAAAAAAATCATTTTTAGCAATTTCTTGTTCACAGCATGTGGGTGAGACTTGTCGCCCTAGGGGCTCTACTTGCTCTGGCTCTAGCCGCCACTACTCAAGTATGTTTATAAAAATATAAAAATATAAAAATATAAAAATATAAAAATATAAAAACATTGTAAATTATCACCATTCGTAAACTGCAGACTAAATTTCAAATCACTTTTCCATTTGAAGAGTGGTATGTTCGATACACAAAGGTCCCCTTCTGTATGATCAAGAAAAGATGATTTATCCAAGTTTTAACTTCGCAAATTGATTTTTAAACAGATTAAAGGGAGTGTATTATCCTTTATCGATGCATTCCTATATTGCTAATATTTCATAATATTTTTGATTTTGTTTTTTTAAATTAATATTTCGCTTACAACTTGTTTTCACGGCTGGTGCTGGATTTTCGAACATTCCATGGAAAATAGGAAAACGTCGTCTTCATTATCAAAAATACTCGAAACAGGAGTAAAAGTTCTCAGAAGTAACTCTCAAATCATAATATTATGAAATATCAACTATATACGAATGCGTCGAAAAAATCAGGTTTCTGAATAATTTGTTTGAAATTAAATTGACTTTTTAACGATTCGAGTCGAATATTGTTACTTTCTGAATTTGTATGAACGCTACGTTCTTCGGAGGAGTCATTTTTAACAAATTTCTCCTTATAGACGCAACAGAAAGAAGTAAGATTAGTAGCCTGCACCATCGATAATTTTTCGACGTAAACATATACCCTCTTTCATTTTTCGCGAACACACCCTTTAAAGTTTGAAGTTGTGAATCATCCATGCCCCTATACCCCTATAGGCCCTGGTTGGTCACGTGAAATTATATCTAAAGTACCAACCAGATAAATCTTGATTAAAACGCACTTATAACATGTCCATTTTATAACTTAGTTATTTTTAGCCATCATGTTTAAGAAGCTTCTAGCAAAAATTGATAAATAATATTATCCTGTATCAGGGTCCGGAGTCAAACTGTCCTACTGCTAATGCTTGCAATCCTAATACGGTGAGATATTTATATTAAGCCTAAATACCGTTTTTTACAATAATTTAACCTTTATCATAGTGTTTTGGTTCATGTGTTAGATATCGCAGACTCCCCTGAGCCCACTCGAGCCGTAATTCTTTAAACCCGACTTTATGACCCAACTCTGACGACAGCTTGTGTCACATGATTGACAGCTGCAAGATCTTCGGCTCGACTTAAGAAGTTTGGACCAATGAATATAAAAACGACCTTGGTTGGTTTTAGTAAATAATTTTAAATCACAGGCTCTGATCTCATTAATGTTTTCTAAAATTTATAAAAATCTAAATATTTTTATTTTAACCTTGCCATTTAAAAAAATTGTCAATAATTTTGACTTAAATGCTTGCAAGCATCTTTAAATATTGTTTACAGTGTAAGCTTCCTGAATGCGGCTGTTCTGGAGCTGAACCCCCAACAGCTGATTGGTCTCAGAGACCACAGGTAATATGATTTACCCTGAACTAACCCTGGAAAATCGGGAGGACTGCAGTAATTAGTTTACTGTAGATTTTTTTTTCATTTTTTTCGTCGTTTTTGAATAATCAAAAAAATGATATCCTCCAAATAAACAATTTGGGAGAATTTCAAAAATCTATTTTGGACTCTTACTCAGCAATTATACATCGTAAAACGTTGTATTGGTATCAAATGAATCCTAACATTTTATTTTTCTTTATAATACTTCAATCCCAGCTTGACTACCATATGTAGCCAGTCATTCCCTGTAAGGATCTATTTAGATTAATTACAGTAATAAATTATATACCATGATTATTGATTATGACACGATCATATGCATGCAAAGTTTAACTCTACTTTGACAACTAGCTGTTCCATCCTGTTCTGTTTGGCGTGCAAGCCATAACCATAATAAGGTTTCATTTAAACCTTAGACTTTTATTTAAATCTGTATCTCATTACCGATGCATATGAGCTAGGGCCAAGTTCATCGGTTTCAATTGCATAAAAAACAAGTTGTTAAATAATTTTGGTAAGCATCTTTTATTATAATAAAAATTGAGCACATTGTTATAATAAATTCAAACTTTTAAAGAATAATTACAATTTAAAAATTTTTAATTTTAATTATTATTTTTTAAAAAATGTTACCCCTGGGGCACTCAAGGGTTCACTCAAAAATGTTCAGCCCATTCGGTCCAGCCGTTTGGCCCGTTTTAGCTAGCATACAAGTTCAACTATATATGAGCAAAGAGCTTTATAATATAGATCAGATTCTTCTGGAGCCTTAAAATAAGTACAAAAACAATGCATTTGGTAAATAGTCAGAAAAAAAACTATGTAAAGTTTGTTTATTTTTATAGTAACAAAAAGTTATAAGATACATTGTACTTAATTTAACAATTGATTTTCTTTTTTAGATTCTGTTTCTATCCTATGTTTTAGATTCTGTATCTAACCTATGTTTTAGATTCTGTATCTAACATATGTCTTAGATTCTGTATCTAACCTATGACGATGCCTTCACTGAGTTTGGAGAGACAAACTTCTACAGGAAAACATGCAATACATCTTTCTTAAACTATACCTCTTAAACTATAACTCTTAAACTATACCTCTTAAACTATACCTCTTAAACTATACCTCTTAAACTATACCTCTTAAACTATAACTCTTAAACTATAACTCTTAAACTATACCTCTTAAACTATACCTCTTAAACTATAACTCTTAAACTATACCTCTTAAAGGGACTGTGAACAAAATTTAAAAGGGCCCTTACTATTATAGCGTGATATGTTGCCTTCCGTGTCTAGCACTTTTATAGAGAACTGCTATAGAAAATTATCAATGTTCAGCCTAAACAAGGATTACTCAATCCTTTTGCTCAGCGAAAATTTCTTTTGATTGAGGGTCATTTAGAATTATATACAGCCCTTTTAAGCGCAAAAACTAAAGCTTTTTTTAAATTGCCACACTGCAAGAGTTTACAATTAAAGGATGCTACTATAGGAATATAAATTGTTGATTTATTAAAGTTTCATCTTTTTTGATGGATAAACCTTACATTAAGATCAGAGGTATTCTTGTTCCCTCAGTTCTCTCTTCAATGGAACATTCAAAAACCCAGATGACTGCCCAATAAGGAATAAATGAATAAATACATCTATATATATATACTTCGCTTTTCAGTCTGTTTCTTTGTAATCGATAAATGTCAAAACGGCTGAACCGATCGGGCCCAGATAACCCCAGGGAAGGTATATGGACCATCATTGGTAACCGCCAAAAAAACTCTTTAAAAAAAAGTTTTCGAAAATAGTATCCCAAATTTTGGCACTCAAAAAGTCGTGTGAAAAAAGTTCATGTAATAAAAAGTCTCTGGAAATAAAGTCCTAATGTTTTGAGACTTTTTTCTAGGACGTTTTTTTGTGGTTCCAGTATGATTTCATACAGCAAAAGTCCCCAGAAAAAAGTCCTTTTACAGTGGAAAATGCATGGAAACAAAAGATGTTTACAACCATGGAAAAAAGGGACTTGATAGTAAAGATAACCGTGGGTATATGCAGATGCATAGAAGAAAAGTTCTTTTTATGAAAACGTCTAAGCCTTGATCTCATTTTTTCCTAGGAATTTAGAAAATTGGGACTTTTTTACAAAATTATTATTTTCAGGTTTTTTTTCCTGTGCCTTCCTACATAGATTCATTCAAATTGGAGAAAACAATCCTGAAATAGTTGGGAGTTAAATTTTTTTTAATGCGCCAATTCGAAAAGAAAAATCCACCAAAATGTGAAATGATTTAAAATGGCCGACTTTTCAAGCAACCGTTAAGAGCTAAAATTATTTACAGGAACAGGAGTGCAAAGCGCCCTAAAATACTAGTAAGAACTAAATAAATAAATAAACTAAAAGTAAAAACGTGTAAACAGCGGTAAAACTTACTCAAGTAAGTTTTTGTTTATCTTCTTTTTTTTCTGAGGATACAAATTTTGCTGACTCAATTAAAAACCTACTTTTACAGAATACAGTTTTAGAATGTTAAATCAGATTATGTTTTCTTGCTCTAATTATACTTTTTGTTTGGCAATTAAGATATTTAAGTAAAAATGTTGTTTTACATCATGTTTGACGAATTTCGAATGTGTGACTAAAATATTCTTAAAATGGGCACGGCAAACGCCGAGCACTTTGTTAAATGAAAATAAAAAAGACGCTGCTAAACTTTCTTTAGAAAATTTCATTTCTGAGGCTTTCAGAGCAACACACTTTTTGACGGCCCAGTACACAGATTACACTCTAGTCAACAAATACTGGAAGATGGGTCATGAAATGGCTTCCCATAGTATCACGTAAGTAAAAATATTATTTTTTCTAATGAATATTTTTTTTCAAAAAGGTTATAAAACAATTCAAAGAATGGTAAAGTACCTGTTGAAACTTTTTTTTGGCTTTTGATACTTTTTCTTAATTGTGACTCTTCATATTTAATTAGTAAATACTAAATTAGTACATATGTGTACTTTGAAATTTAGTTTCGTAAGGGGATGAGGTTTTTTAGGTTGTTGGAACTACAGTTGCAATTTCACTTAGTGTGCCATTTAAAATGGAAAAATTTACGTTTTACTTTTGAAAAATACATACTTAAACTACTGAATTTACATTTCTTATTTGTCTTAAGTGTTAAGTGTTCTAAAGCTTCTTTATTAACTAATCCTATATACTAGTTTTCAACTTGCAGGATACATTAGGGGGGAGTGAATTTTGAAATTACGGCGATGAAAATGAAAAATTCAAGAACAATTTCTTTTATGACATTTTGATAAGCTAATGGCACTGCAAGTTTTTGCGGTTTGCCTACATGTCTCTTTTCCTGAGATCTGTGATTTTGCAATGCACAAGAAAAATGCTGCTAATGGTTACGAGGATAGTAAATTTCTCTGTTAAAAAAATTCTTAAAACAAATTCTTTTTGTCAGTTTTTGATTGGAAGTCGTCTTCATTAGCTGAAGGTCACGGCAAGTTTTGACCTTTATATGCTCTTTCCTTAAATCTGTTATCTCACAATAATTGCATGTAATATGCTTCCAATTATTATGGCAATAATTGATTCTTATGTAAAAAAATTAGTTCTAAGAACAACTTCTTTTGTGACAATTTTTAATTGGAGGTCGCATTTTAAAGCTAACTGGCACGCCATCTTTTTACCTTTTTTCTGAGAATGGTGATTTCGCAATTAGCATGCAAAATGCTTCCAATTATTACGGCGATAGTTAATTCTGATGTAAAAGAACAATTCTAAGAACAATTTCTTTTGTGACACTCTTGATTGGAGGTCACATTTTAAAGCTAACTGGCAGTCCATTTTTTAACATTTTTTGAGATTGGAGATTTCGCAATAGGCATGCAATATGCTTCCAATTATTATGACGATTGTAACATCTTATGTAAAAAACAATTCTGAGAAAAATTTCTCTCATTCTACTTTCTTATTGGAGGTTGTCTTTTTATGCTAAATGGCACAGAGATTCAGAAAAAGAATTACATTTAGGTCAAAAATTTCAGTGCTAGTTAGCTTACGAAGACGACCTTCAATTGAAACGTATCACGAAAGAGACTGTTTTTAGAATTAATTTATACATTAGAAATGATAATCGCCATGATAATTGGAAGCAAATTCTCCGTAATAATTGGAAGCATTTTCCTTGTGTATTGTGAGATCTCATATCTCAGAAAAAGAGACATAAAAGTCAAAACTCCCAGTGTCAGCAAGCTAACGAAGACGACCTCTAATCAAAAAGTGGTACAAATTAAAATGCTCTTAGATTTTTTTACACAAGAATTGACTATCGACGTAAGGATTTCCAGCAAATTGTATTATTTTTGGAAATGTACTATAATTGTATACATTTTGCAATTTTAATATTATCTTAGATGTGTAGTATTAGAGTAAATTAGAACCTTCAACAAAAAGTGCAGCAAAAATCTTATCAACATTTTTTGGGGATTTAACATACAAATTTTTAATTAAGTAAAATCTGCGAAATTTTCGTAGTGTTAATTTTCACAAAGAAAGAATAAAAAGCTAAAACTATTGTTAAAAAGATGCAAGCTTTGTTTCCTTAAAAAAAAACTTTGCATTTTCTCTAATTCAGGCATAGATCCAGCACCGACTACTGGAAAGCTTTGAATGTGACAGGCTGGAGAAATGAAATCGAGGGTTTACGCAAAATGATTTCACAATTTGCTGCTGTTCCAAAGGAAGAGATATCAGGTTAAGTTTTAAATCTCCAAAGTTGATTAAACTGAAACAGTCTCCGCCAGATAACTTATTCTTAATATTAGTATTAGTATTAGTGAAAGTTCATGTTTGTTGATTTTAAAACAAATTTTTCTACAAAATGGTTTACATTTTTTAAGAAGTCAATTTTTTTATTTCAAACTATTATTTAATCAGCAACAATTAAAAGGAATGGTATGCGCAATTTCAAGTAAACCTCCATGCACAAAGTGTTTAATTCTCCTAATTCATATATGTTTCCTTCAGTACAAATGCGCAAGTCACTGTTAATGATAATAATTGATGAGACAAAGCTTGTAGGGGTACCGTTGTGAATCTAGGATTACCATGCATGGAGGGTCACGCTTCAGTGCCATTGTGAAAGGAGCATTTTTGTCTGGGTTCGAGACATTCACGTCCAAAGTCTATTTATATATAAAAGCTCTTCGCTCATTTATATGTTCGCCATAGCTGGCAAAACGGCTGGGCCAATTTTGCTGAACATTTTTGAGGGGACTTTTGGTTACCCATGGGGTGAAATATGCTATGTTTTTTTGAAATTCCACGTCAATGCTGGTACTTCAGTTTAAAAAAATTTAAGACCAAGTGCAAATAAACGGCGGGAGTAACTATGAGTAACCTGGATGACGGCGAGTACTTCAGTTAGTGCTCAATAATATCAAAAGCGAAAAATGTTATTTGATAAATCTGGAAACACTTATCTCTTATCTTTGATGATGTAAACATTAACCTTTGATAGAAAATGAAGAAAAAAATGTGAATTATTTAGTTTCCAATAACGGTCTTTTCAACTTCTCAGCTCAATAACTCTTTTAAATTTTACTTTAAAGTTATGACTTAAAGAAAGGAAAATAAAGGGATGGAAAAGTGACTATTCGGTGGTAGGCGAATATATCAATAAAATGAAGACAACTTTTGATTTAAGTTTTAATTGTGAACAAGATTTTTCCAATTACAAGTTATACAAGTTAATAAAGAGAAGTTTTTTAATTAAAAGCTTCTCTTTGTTTCCATTTTTTTTTGTATTTGTGTTGCTTAGAAGCTTGATATAGATCAAAATTAAAAGTCGAAATTTGTCTTCATTATATTAATATAACCGCCTACCACCGTACCTGAAAATATCTCCCCCTGTGTACTTTAAAGTGCGTAAAAAGGGGGCCAAGGGGGCAGTGACCCCTTGACCTGTAAAGGGGGCCCCTAGAGCTCAGAGCTAGAACACTTTTCAAATCTGAAACTGAAGAGCTGATTGAGGATAAAAATAGTTTCCTGTTTTTTCTTCTAGTTTTGTTTAAAGGATTGATAAAGGAGTAAAATAGTAGAAGAAATTCTGTGGCAGTACGGTCTTCGGATAGTATAATGCATAAACAAATAGTACTTGTAAGGTAATTGGACTGTATGTGTACCTTCAAAGTATCCAAGAAGCCAAAAGTTTTGAATTTACTGTTCATATTTTGCCCCCCCCCCCCTTAGATTTATTTCTGTGTTCGCCCTTGTTTACTTTAGATTTATGTGTATTATAATTTAAAGGGTCTGAAATTACTCTGTCATGAAATATCTCGTGTTCAGGATTCAGGGCCCCATTCCTTCAGCTTGGAGGTGATGAGATGTATACTGCTCTTAAAGAAGATGGTTTTAAATATGATTGCTCATGGGCAAGCAGAGACTATGGTTATCTCAAGCTAGGTATTGTATCTTAATAATTTTAAAGAATTAGATGAATCAGTAACTGAACCATTTTAAGATTTTGGACTGTTTCCTTACTCCTTGGATTCTGCCTCAGTACAAGTAACTGTTTTCTTTTTCTGAACTTGTACTGTATATGTACAGTATATAAACATTATCTATATATTATTAATACAGTATATAAACAGTATCTATATAGTATATGTACCGTATATATACTGTATATAAACAATATCTTTATATTATTTGTACAGTATATAAACGTAAAGTATCTATATAGTATATGTACAGTATATGCACAGTATATGCACAATTACTGAATTAAAAAAAAAAACATTTTCAATGTTTCTAAAATTTTGTAAATTATTTTGATTTTTAAGGATTGTCCAGTTGAACCTTGTCCAACCTGTAGCTATCCTGGACTATGGGTTCAGCCTATGCTTGATCTAGAAGATAGATGGATAGGAGCAGATCCAACCCATCCTAACAATGGCATGCCATGCAGTATGCTGGATGCTTGTATCATGTAAGAACTAAATATCCTAACAATGGGATGCCATGCAGTATGCTGGATGCTTGCATCATGTAAGAACTAAATATCCTAACAATGGGATTCCATGCAGTATGCTGGATGCTTGTATCATGTAAGAACTAAATGTCCTAACAATGGCATGCCATGCAGTATGCTGGATGCTTGTATCATGTAAGAACTAAATATCCTAACNCATAAAATGGAACAAGGTAACTATACATAAAATGGAACAAGGTAACTATACATAAAATGGAACAAGGTAACTATACATAAAATGGAACAAGGTAACTATACATAAAATGGAACAAGGTAACTATACATAAAATGGAACAAGGTAACTATACATAAAATGGAACAAGGTAACTATACATAAAATGGAACAAGGTAACTATACATAAAATGGAACAAGGTAACTATACATAAAATGGAACAAGGTAACTATACATAAAATGGAACAAGGTAACTATACATAAAATGGAACAAGGTAACTATACATAAAATGGAACAAGGTAACTATACATAAAATGGAACAAGGTAACTATACATAAAATGGAACAAGGTAACTATACATAAAATGGAACAAGGTAACTATACATAAAATGGAACAAGGTAACTATACATAAAATGGAACAAGGTAACTATACATAAAATGGAACAAGGTAACTATACATAAAATGGAACAAGGTAACTATACATAAAATGGAACAAGGTAACTATACATAAAATGGAACAAGGTAACTATACATAAAATGGAACAAGGTAACTATACATAAAATGGAACAAGGTAACTATACATAAAATGGAACAAGGTAACTATACATAAAATGGAACAAGGTAACTATACATAAAATGGAACAAGGTAACTATACATAAAATGGAACAAGGTAACTATACATAAAATGGAACAAGGTAACTATACATAAAATGGAACAAGGTAACTATACATAAAATGGAACAAGGTAACTATACATAAAATGGAACAAGGTAACTATACATAAAATGGAACAAGGTAACTATACATAAAATGGAACAAGGTAACTATACATAAAATGGAACAAGGTAACTATACATAAAATGGAACAAGGTAACTATACATAAAATGGAACAAGGTAACTATACATAAAATGGAACAAGGTAACTATACATAAAATGGAACAAGGTAACTATACATAAAATGGAACAAGGTAACTATACATAAAATGGAACAAGGTAACTATACATAAAATGGAACAAGGTAACTATACATAAAATGGAACAAGGTAACTATACATAAAATGGAACAAGGTAACTATACATAAAATGGAACAAGGTAACTATACATAAAATAGAACTAGGTAACTATACAAAAAATGGAACAGGACTCGAAACTATACATAAAAACGGAACTGTACATAAAAACTATTTTGATTTTAACATTCTCTTATTTCCAGAGCTCCAATGGGTCTGTATATGCACGCTGCTTGGTTCTACGGGGAACAGATTTGGCATTATGAAGGATACAAGGATTTCCTGAAGGTAATCATTCTTTTTTTCTTTCATTTGCTTTTAAAGATTATGCACACGCTATTTCAAGTGACCCCCCCCTTGCGCATTTCTACTGCAAAAAAACGTGTAGGAGTTATCAGAAACACTTTTAAGCCCAAGAAAAGCGAAAGTATCTACCATCTTATAAGGGTCAGATAAAAGTTTCAATGTTACCGTTGTAAACTGGTTATTTCCATCTTTCCATAGAGGGTCTATTGCAATTACACTTACTCCTTACAGTACATTTAAAGGACAATATTGTATATCTGACACACCCGTTAATGAATGGAAGACCACTTGAAAGTGCGTCCACACTCCACGGTCCCTTTAAAGGGACTGTAAAGGAAAAATGAAAGGAGTAATNGCTTTAACACCCTGCAGGTAATATTTATACATAGTATACTAAATCCAACCCCCATACAGCAATAGTAGATGTGAGGCTTTAACAGCCTGCAGGTAATATTTATACATAGTATACGAAATGTACGCCCCCCTGTGAACTGGGAAAAATATATGACTTCATGGATATAAAGTACAAGGTGTCCCAATACAGCATGGGAATTGAAAGTCGTCTTTGATGTCTTATATATAATGCATGGCAAAAAAAGTAAAAAATGAGCTTTTTATAAAGTTGTCTACCTTTCTTGTAACTAAAAAATTGACGAAGATATTAGATATTAAGGCCATTTTGATTTATTAATTTTAAATTTTGCAATATCACCTTCAATTTTGAAGATACGAAAATGGTAGACCACATTTTGAAAATCTGCAAGACCAGGTTTTTTCGATATTAGATGTTTAAGCTGGAAAACTGAAATAATCATGAAAAAAAATGTTCCATGGATCGAAGACGATATAAAAGTCGTCACTGAATTCCCATGTTTATTGTATCAAAAATGGTGAAATAAACCTTTTCAGTCCCATGTTAATCGTGAGGGGTAATTATTGAACATAATATCCCTGACGATAATGTAAATATTGTCCATGTACAGGGTTACCCACTAAGAATGAGACTTCAGAGACGACTGTACAGAATACTGTCTTTTTCCAGATATCACGATGCCCTGCAACCATAATCTTCTTTCTTTCTTTGCCTGAGCGTTAAATAAGCCATTAAAAGATTTTTTAAATGCAAAAGATCTAATTTGAAAAGATTTAAGTCGTCTTTACAGTCTCATCCTTTGTGGGTAACCCTCATTTACCCAAGACTTTTCGGATTTATTTTCTTCAGGACTTTAATTCCTGTGACTTTATAGGCAGCCCTTTTTATTATTTTAAGAAAAAAAGTCCCAGAAATCTAAAGCTCAGGACTTTATTTATTTTGTCCTAGGACTTCAGAAAATTGGGACCTTTTTCAAAGTTTTGATTTCCAGGTTTTTTCCAAAAAAACTTTTTTTTCCTGTGACTTTCTTACATAGATTCGTCGCACTGTCATATCAATATCGATATATCGAACGCAACGATAGGATTTCATCTAACAATGTGATACAATTATTGTTTGTAATTTCAGGTATGAGAACGTGGATAATTCTGATATCCACAACCAAGAAAGGTATATGCATATCTGTGGAAGAACATCAACTAACACTGCACAGAAGTGCCCGGTAACACGATTTTTATATTAAGCCAAAAGCTATTGTTTTTTACCAATTAAACCCCAAAAAATCTTTTACTTTCTTTAAAAAAAATAATTTAATTAACTTGAAATTCAATACTCAGTTTAAATTATATAAAGACATGCCTCAAACTTTAATATTATAATTGATCAGGTTGCAAAGTTATTAGGATTATAAATTTACGCTTGAGACAAATATAACTTGAAATTTATTTCAGCCAACCTACCCCTGGCTCGGAGACCCATGCGGAGGAAACGAACCCTGCCTTTAACAAACTATATTGTGGAATCCACTTCAGGATTCTGAAATACAATATTCTTAACTATTTTGTGTTTTATTTTGAATAAAATCAAACAAGGCTTTCTTTCTTGTAGTATTTCTTCAGTTTTAAATATTTTTTGGAATGAATTAATTTTTGTGTTTGCACCTGTAAAAAATATTAAACCCATTAATACCGTCCACTGTCCACAGAATTACATGAAATTTCATGGACAGCTTCCTTACGGGTCTTTAAACATTTTGAAGGTTTTTCGGTTTGACGTTTATTAGACACAAACAACCCGAGATACAAACATGCCAATTGTATACAGTGGTAGGTGATTATATCAATACTAGAAATTCAGACCGCTTCGCGCCCTTCTTTCTAGGCTTTTAGGGCGCTTCGCGCCCATCTTCTATTTCAACTTTTAATTGTGGCTTTATCTCTGAACATCTTCTCTGTGAACAGTATAAAAAAAAACATAAAAGTTTGCGAATTTCATAATATTTTTTGCGCATTTTCAAAATTTTTCAAAATAAAAAACTTTAAAACACAAATTTTCAAAATTTTGATCATTCATAAACCTGCCCTGGGGTCACGTGAGGTCCCACAAAAAATTTGGGCCCGATCGGTTCAGCCGTTTTGACGTTTATTGGATACAAACAAACAGACAAGCCAAATTTATATATAGATATCAATATCTCAATCAATACAATGAAGACGACTTTGGATCTCAATTTTTATTTTTATCAAGCTGTTAAACAGCATGGATATTGGATACACATAAGCATTGAAGTCTTTGATTATTTGTAAACTTGTAATTCGAAAAAGGGTAACAGTCAAAAACTTAAGGAAAAAAGTTGGCTTTGTTGTATTGATATAATCGCCTACCACTGTATTAAAAAAAACACGACAAATTCATCAGAATGGTGGAAATAATTTTTAAATACAAAAACATAGTTTCTAAGTTTTTAAATATAACCAAATAAATAACCAGACTTTTGGTTTGCTTGCAGTGAGACCCCATATCATTTCGAAGACCATATTTAATAATTCTTATGATGTTGATTTAAAGCAACTAATCTTCCAAAACCTTGAAAATCTACTTGTCAAAGGGACCGTTCACTTATTTGGGTAATTTTGGGATAAACTAAATAGCTTATTGAATGTTGATTAGTATTGGTCTTACTTTTCAAAGGCAACTGTGGCCGGAGAAAAAGCCGATTTCATGTTTAGAATTAGAGCGCAAAGTCGATGTCATAGCTGATAGGCTGTTAAGTTTGCCCCGAAATTACCCAAATAGGTGAACGGTCCCCTTAAGTGTAAAAATTCAAAATTGCTATTTTTCATGATCGTTGGACAAATCATAATTAAGTCAAAAAGTCGTCTTCTTATTCAACAGTTTCATGGGTCTCACTGCAGTAACATTTTTAGCTTTTGCCCCCCCAAAATAATTTTCACTTCAGAATTTTTATTCTTCAGATTTATAAAAATCGATTTTTTTTAATGGCAATTTTTTTATTTCGACCTGAAAAACCAAAGAGAATAGAATATAAATTTGAGTGGAATTTACTAGAAAAAGTGTAAAACGGCCATTTTGTTGTACTGTTTCCATACTGCAGGTGTACTTCACATATTTGTGCTATATAACCTTTTCGGCCCTGGAACATCATTTTATAGAAAATCTAAAATATTAAAAGAAAACCAAATTATGAAATAGACTGGTTTCATAATTGACCAATGATCATTTCACATATAGATTTTATTCCTTTTACTTTACTCGCGATGATTTTCAGTTATAACTATAAATCAAATGATGTTTTTTTTCACCTAATTAATTTTATAAAGTTTATCTAACAGCTTTAAAAAAACCAAAATTGAAATGGATAGTATAGGAAACATACTGTATTAATGTAACCTACTGCATATAATTTGTGAACATTTACATGAATTGTACACATTGAACTCCCTTTCAGGCTAAAAGGGACTGACAAAATTCATACCGAGGGATTTTCTAAATTCCACTCTAATATATATTCTATTCTCTTTGTGAAAAATCCTTCAGTCATGCGAGTTTCTACAAAACATTTTGGGCCCATGATTGCAATCAATTCAACCGTTTTTTTAATTTATTGGATACCGACAACGCTTTATAGAATTTTTACAAACTTTACAAATAATTTTATAACACTGAATAGATGAATGATCTAGCAGGTACATGAGAGTAAAATATATATTCTAATATCACAGTTTATACTTGATTTTCTAACAACTTGTAAAACTTTTTATTCCCTTTCACGATATAGTTCCGTCTGGGGGGAAGAGGAGGTGGTGTATTCTGAACAAACGTAAATAATTAACTTTAAAGACTGATGTTGTAATTTCAAGTGACCTTTAATTCGTAATGTGGCATGTCCAATTCGTACTTTTATATCTGTAATTTATTAAAAATGTAGAAGATATCGTCGTTTTTCTGACTCAAAATATGTTTTGTTATGTTTCCATTGTATCTGTAAATATCAGAAACGCGCAAGTTAGATAACAGAAAAAAGTTTATCAGACTCACTCCAGTCTAACCAGGGAGAGATGCATTCGGAGTTTTCTACTTGAACTCAATCACGTGTTCGTTTATAATTCAACAATCCTTAAACTTACGGAGTAAAAACACGTATGTGGCAAAAAAAAAGAAAAAAAGAGAAAAGGCGAAAAAAGCATGTTAGTAAAATTGTAATCAAAATCAACGTTCTCTAGGATGGAGGGCCACTTGAAATTACGTTCACTGTCCCTTTAAATTCTTCAAATTTTTTCATTTTCTATTTCCAATATCTTTGCAACATGACAGTGTGAACCGTGGATATTCTTTAGTTTTTGATCTAAAAGATTTTGTAAAGTCTCTTTAAATCAAATATATACGACATTAGGTTGTAAAGATTTAGCAGTTATAGAATCATAATTTCTTTACAATAAAATTCTCACCATCTGCAACCCATGTTGTTTCAAAGTTTTCAGAACTAACTCACTATTTGCATGAACCGTACATCCAGCATCTTCTCCGTAGGTCTCTTGCCTGTTCTTCCAATAATCCTGGGCAGGTAGATTCCATGCTAAAGAGAAGGGGTGTATATTTTTCAGAATTACACCCCCCGGAGGAGAGGGAATGATTTTTGATGAATGGGGGAGGGGGAGAATAAGAAATGGGACTTCAAAAGTTTTTTCATTCTTTAAGATACTTTTTACCCCAAAAAATCGATTATTTTTCCTAAATAATCATTTCATATCCCCAATTCAGCAAAAGTATTTTCCGCTCCGCTGACCATTTATAACTTCTGGGGAAAATAAATGATTTTCTAAAAGGGGGAGAGGTGAATGATATTTTAAGAAAATATACACCCCTGCCAAAGAGTTTAAAGGATCGGCCTGGAAGCTGCTTAAGCTTGTTGGAAGACCTTGAGGAACTATTTCAAGTATTATATTTTTGATGCTGTTCTCCATTGAAATATTTTTTGGTCCAGGGGCAACCATATGACTAGCTTGTGCAATCTTACTGCTCATCGGTCTATAGGAGTGTTCTCTATCAAACCATCAGTAATAAGACATTATGGCAATTCAATAAAGCTCTACGCTCATATATATATTTATATGTTAGCTATAATTGGCCAAGATGAAAATTGTGTTCGAAAGAAAATCTTTTTTTTTTTAATTCCACGGACAACGCCGGGCACTTTAACTTAATTAATAATAAACTCAAAATACAAAAAGTAAATGAAGGAGGCTAAAAACTACAGATTTAAGTTAAGAATTGAATTATAAAACGAAAGAAATTACTACAAAAATCATTTTTTAAGTTATAATTTTTTTCATCAAATATATTGGAAAAAATGCAAGCATAGGAGAAAATATAACTGATTCTAAAATCTAATATTACTGATTCTAAAATCTGATATTACTGATTCTAAAATCTGATATTACTGACTCTAAAATCTGATATCTGATTCTAAAATCTGAAGTTACTGATTCTAAAATCTGATATTACTGACTCTAAAATCTGATATCTGATTCTAAAATCTGAAGTTACTGATTCTAAAATCTGAAATTAATGACTCTAAAATCTGATATTATTACTGATTGCCTATATTGTTTCCAAGTTCTTTGTATAACTTCAGCTGAATTCTCTTCAACTCTGACACTTAAAATAAAAACAAATTATCTATTGATAAAAATATTATTTTGGTTGCAGTGTTATACAGTTTTTGGAGAAAGAAAATTCTGTTTTTCGAGATGGTTTGTGAAGTTGTTCAGCACTTGTTCTCTTCATTCACTTGATGCAAAGTGGCTATAGCCACATATAAATATATTTTAAAGTAAGCTGTCCTACGAAACAGAAATTTAAAAACGTTAATTTCAATCTTTTTTTCATTTGAACAAAAAATTGTTTTAGAAATCTCTTATATTTTCAGTAGAAAATCCGCGAACCATTTATATTTTAAAACTTTAAGTACTATGGTGTACAAACAACTAATTTAACATTATGACCGGATGAACAGAGCAGTGAGCAATGAGCATGCATGAAAAATTACCATATTTTACCTGAAATTCCCGTATTTTACCTGAAATTACCATATTTTACCTGAAATTCCCATATTTTACCTGAATTTCCCATATTTTACCTGAAATTTCCATATTTTACCTGAAATTCCCATATTTTACCTGAAATTCCCATATTAAACATGAAAATTCCATTTTTAATATTATACCTGAGTTTTTCTAGATATTTTCTAGAAAGTTCAGTAAATATCACATACTTGCTTCCAATAACACAATCCTGCTAATACAAAAGATAAACAATTCTTAGTTAAAGGGATTGTAGAAGTTTTCAAGTAACCCTCCATTTGTAGAGAGGCATTTCCTATTCCCAACTATATATTCCTTTAAACCTTTGTCAGATCAAGGATTAGATATGTCAAATTTCATCTACAGGCCCTTTAAGAACCAAACATTTTATATGTTCTCTGATTTTTCTGTCTGCATTTGCAAAACATTGCTTTATCATGGTTTATGTTTTTTTTTAAAAATTTATAGTTTTGTTCAGTAAATTCTTTACCTTGCTATCTTCATGCCTGGCACGAGACAGGTCCGCATTCAGTTTTTCAACTAGGAAGTACAAATGTTTTAGAAATAAGTTTTCATTTCTTAAACATAAAAATTTTCAAATATTAGTTACCTAGCTCTGTACATGCTACTGAAATATCCTTTGTTTGTCTCCTACTCCACCCGGGGTAAATAATTTGGTATCTGCTGTAGAAATTTCTAAAAAGAACAACTATTCTTTCAAAATTTCAAGATCCAATAAAACTGGAGTTCAGAGTTAAATCGTTTACAAAAAAACTAAAAATATTCTTTAATATACTTTTTTTTTACGAAACTCCAATTTTCAATGCTCCATTGAACTTTCAGCTAATTATAAATCTAACGTGTTAAAATTTAAAACTTAATAAATACACTTTTAATATTATAAATGAATTGTTCTCAATTGACCATCCCACTCTACACATAAACGAAGGGTCACTTGATTTTACGTCTTCATTTGACGAACTATAAGCCGAATTTCAGTGACCTTCCATTTATAAAGCGGCATGTCTGATTCAAAACGTTCCCTTTTAAACCTTTCCCGGCCGAGAACGATAAAACACGGCAGAAACGTCATGTATGTGTGTCTGTACCAAAAGAGTGTGTGTAAGTAATAACGAACCGAAGGCGTGTATTGTAGGTATATACAGTGCATAAGAATCTCGGTATTTGTACAGTCTAGAAGAGTACATTTGTCTATTGTTAATTGTTTACTTAAAAATAAGTTTAATATACATGTAATATATTATGTATATATATTTACATATATATTTACTATAAGCCAAATTGTCATGCAAAGAATAAAATTTGATTAAAGTTTACAATAAACTACTCGTTATTCAAGCTTAATTATAATTGACGACATTGTTCTGCAATTTCTCTGACTGCAGTCATGATGTGTGTCTTTACCAAAACAGTATGCGTGTGTAATAACGAACTCGTCTGCAAAGCAGTGCGAGTGGCTTTCTTATGCCAGACCAGCGCCATTTCTCTTCCCTTTATTATTATTCCCTGCGATAAAGGTTATAGTCTAGGTTACAGGTACTCTCCGTACTAGTGCGGTTTGGGCACTTAATTTTCCGCTATATAAGTAAGAATATCTACGAAATCCTTTATCTAGCCAAGAGGTAAAGGGTATCGTTGTAAATCGGACATGTCAGTATACAAATGGAAGGTCACTTGAAATTATGCTCACAGTTCCTTTAAGGTGCATAAAAACTCCAATTAAAGTTTGTTTCTGAATGACATTGTAAATTTTGATATTTGTTTGTTTGTTTGTTTGTAATACCTGATTTTAAGTTTGTGTGAAAGTCCTAAATAGAAGTTCATAGTTTCCAGAATTTGATAATTTCTAATCTGAAGAGAAACGAATTGACGATCAAACTTGGAATGTTCTAACAAAATTTATTCTCATTTTTATTTAAAAACAAGGTCAAATTTGCCATCTATTGGTATCAACCTTTGATATTTTATACTTTTGGTAGTCTATTTTATAGTTTTAGCTAAACCATTTAACAAACAAATTGTGTTTTAATGATTCAAATATAGTAATTACATTCAAAAAATAAATTGAATTAAAAAAATAAAATGAAAAACTATAGACAAATATTACTTTAACAATTTTTGAGATAAATTCCTGAAAGCGTTGGTGAGGGTTGGATGCAGGTTACAAAATGTGGTTTAGTTTGTGTCAGAATACTAATAATTCAATTCAATCATTTACAACATTTTTAAGATGATTAAAAATTAATATACTATAATTTTCCAATCCCTATAATTTTGCAACCCAATGTCGTAGACCTATCAGATATCTATGTATTTATGATAATGTAAGTTAAGTAATCCAAGTTTGAAATATTAAAGGTTTACACCACCAGATTACGAAGAAATTAGAAAATTGACTTTGTGGCAAATAAAATATTCTTTCTTTAGAGATATTTCAAAAAATCTAAATCTCAAGTACAGGGTTACAAAAACAGGATGAGACTTTTATAACGACATGAACCCCTTTAAATTTAACATTTAACATGTAGAACTTGGGGACTGCCTTGAAAATAGTCTTTAAATGAGACATGTAAAGCTCTAGAGAGCATGATCATGCCAGGCTTCAATTGTTGCATAAAACGTGCTGGGCAGCCCAAACTGGACAATAAGACTGAAAGTAGTACATTACCGGCTAGGATGATACAATGATTGAGGTAACGTAAAATAAGACTGAATCAATCACGGACATTCGCAATGCATATTAAACTTAGCCAGTGGGGAGGTCAAATATGCCTATGATAGGCCGGGTACTGTAAAAAGTCTGGCCGCGCCATCGAAGTTAAAACTAAGCCGGCACAGGATAGGGTCGGGCCGGTACAAGGAGTCATTTCGGGTTGAATTAAAATTGACCTTAGTCCACCGTGAGTGAGTTACCCTACGATGAAAACGTGGTTTTTGAAAAAGTTACATATTTGAAAAATGTCCAGGCTAGCTCAATGACTTACTATCTTTTAAGAACAGGATTTCTTTTTTAAAGCTTTTATAAGATTATTCCTAAAACCAATTCATAAAAAAATTATTTGAATAAATGAATTCCTAAGAGTTAGCTCCAGTTTTCCCTGGTAATCGTCAAGCATGGAAACATCTACAAATATTTTATCATAAATTTAAAAAATAAAATTTCAAATTTAATTCTGCGTGAGTAGAATTCAAATATGTTATGTATAAATGATAAACAATTTATTTATTTTTACTGATAAGCTGATTCAGAATATTGACATAAAAATTCATTTTCATTTTTTTTACAGTCTAGTGTTTTTACTTTAAAGTTTACGCTTAATTTCAAATAACCCTTCATGCAAAGATGGCAGTATTAAATAATGTGAAAGATATTTTCATTTTCTAGGTTTAAAAGTGTTTAATTTTAATAATTTCGATATGTTTTTCTGCAGTTGAAATGTTAACCTATTGTACGTAGATCACTAAAAACAGGATAAAACAAAGTTTTAGAGGGTACCATTGTAAATCGTACATACCGCTCCATATAAATGGCTGGTCACTTGAAATTACGTCTATAGTTCTTTTTAAATCTATTTTCTGTCTTGGATAAGATCCATAGTTTCTATTTATACCTGGAGAAACCCTCTCTTCACCAGACTTAAGTGATTTCAACTCCTGAATCCAACATTTAACAATTTTAAATATTGATATTTAGGTTACAGGATTGTGTATTAAAAGTTTATTCAGGCAATTTTTTTTTACAAATTTTAGGTTTTCTCGGCAATGCGTACATTTAGCAATTAAAAGACGAAAAGTAAAAAATGCGCAAATTTTTGCAAATGAAGAAAAACGTATTAAAATGCATTGAAACGTGATGCAAAGAAAAAAGTCCTAAAAAAGCGTAAAATTTTATTCGTTGTATATCTTAACTTAACGTTTTATTAAAAGATTTGTTTAGTACAGTAAGAACCAGAAAACAGTGGAATTATTGTCGTCTTCTGTTTTCTTTTATTCATAACATGTCGTTTAGGATTTTAAAATTTTCACTCATATTCTGAACATTGTTAGAAATATATCAAGTGCGCGCAAATTATAAAACCAGTTCCGATATTTTTTAGGGTTAAAGGTAGAACAAAGACGACGTTCATTCCTCAGTTTTTTTAGGGTTAAGGAAAGAACAAAGACGACGTTTTCTTTTGTTCTCAGTTTATCTTAAACCTTTAATTCTTTTAATTCTAGATTTTAGTTTTTTAGAATAATTTTATAATCTTTGTTTCTTAAAAAATTCATGTTCATGTAATAAATAATTGATTCTATATGTTCCTGATGGAAGAGATGTGATATAAAACCAGATTTACAGTTTTCACAATCGAACATTCTCACCAGGTGAGTAGGTAAACTCTTCTCATTCACTTCTAAACACAATAAATATGTTATTTTTGTAAAGGGACTGCATCATGGTAGTTTCAAGTAACCCTATTATTGTAGAATGGCATATATGCGTTCGCAGTGTGCCTATTAAAGGGAGACACCAGCTAGGGAACATATTTGAACCGAAAGTGCAGCATTCTCAGAAAACATTTAGGATTCATTTGATAAAAATTATACCAATTAACAACGTCACATTGTTATCAAATGAATCCTAAATTTTTTCTCTGTAATACTGTACTATCCGTTCAAATATGTTACCTAGTCGGTCTCTCCCTTTAAATCTTCCTCGGAGCAATTATGTTAATGAACTCCTCTTTATTCTAGCTTGAAAAGTGTTAAATTCTGGCAGATAACAAAATTGTTTCTATAAGTAGAAATCTGCAAGTCACTTTTAAAGAGCTTGGAGTCACAGTAAAAAAAAACATAAATAGCTCATTCATTGGTGATAAGACAAAGGTTAAAGAAGAACTGTTGTGAATCAGGCATGACCCTCTTTAAAGGGAAAATTGCGACTTCAGCCCATGTAAAGGATAGTTTTGCTTAATTAGCTAATACTGTACTATAAGAATGGAAATTAACTTAAAGAAATTTCATAGATAATAAAAACTAGACAGTAAACACCTATTTAACACTTATTCCTTAATTCTTATGACGACTGCAGCACACATTTTTAGCATTTTTTTACGCTTATACTAAATCTGTTAGATAAAGCTCTCCATATAATTGTTTCAGCGTACCTGTAAAATCTTTAGGAGAATAAGTGACGGGTCCAGAGAAATGTTTTATTGTGAAATTATTTCCCCTCTCCGTCTTGAATAAACTAGGCTGGTTTCTTCTCTGCTCTTCAGGGTACCCGGAGTCGGTGAACCTAAGCGTCTGGAGATCATGATCGTTGGTTTCTTGGTTTACAATTTGAATGTGTTCGATCAAATTAGATTGACCGACAGGCTCGGCCGTGTATTTATTCACTAAAGATAAAACCCCAGTGCTCTAAACAAATAAAGATTGAAAAAATACAATGAATTTATTCTTCTGAAATTTAAATTTTTTTATAGATATTTCATATCAATGTAATTATTGATAATTAGAGCTGGGCATGTGATTTCATTTTTACAAACGATACCGGTTATTTATTGTAACCGTTCGCTTTTTAATATAAATTTACGAAAACTTTTCCGAGATAGATTAAACCTGGTATAAAAATTTGACTCAGAAATGTTGTTAAGCCTGGGAAATGATTTTACACTGCAAAAAAACGCTATCTCGTTTAATTGGAAATTTCAGTTGCTATATCGCACACTGTGCAATATAAATATAGCTCTACTGTTGATTTATCGCACACACATGTGCAATATAAATATAGCTCTATTGTTGATATATCGCACACTGTGCAATATAAATATAGCTCTACTGTTGATATATAGCACTCTGTGCAATATAAATATAGCTCTACTGTTGATATATCGCACACTGTGCAATATAAATATAGCTCTACTGTTGATATATCGCACACTGTGCAATATAAATATAGCTCTACTGTTGATATATAGCACTCTGTGCAATATAAATATAGCTCTACTGTTGATATATCGCACACTGTGCAATATAAATATAGCTCTACTGTTGATATATAGCAAAACAACATTCTTCATAAAGGAAGCAGCTATTATTATAACACACAGAGTGTGCAATATATCTAACTGTATTGCAGAAATGATATAGATATATATTGCAGAAATAGTGTTGTTTTTTTGTAATATACCCCTTCAAGTCACAAATGCTTTTTGTATCGATAAACATGTATATATTTTAGAATTTTAAAGTAATTACTTTTAGCTTTTGTTTTTAAGAGTTAATTGGCAAAATTCTTATCGTTTTCACGTGAGAGCTTGCAACCTTAAAATAACAAGGTGCAGTTCATATCGTTAATTTTAATAATTGAAAATATTGTTTTCTTGCGGTAGAAATGCGCAATACACCTTTGGTCAGTTTTAGAAACACGGATATCTAATTCATATTGATCAGACAAAGATTTAAACAGTAACGTTATGTATCGGACAAACCACATTATAAATTAGGTCTTCACAGCCTCTTAAACGGAAGTTTTCGTTATGAAACGTGCCAGCGCTAGCTCTGTTGGAAAAATTTCAAATTTTACTTGAAGAAGATAAGTACCTGACATGTTAAAAGCTGCATAACAGGCGACGGGTCTAAAAACTCTACAGGGGAGATCTCTATTTTCTCTTCTCTAGAGTTTAAATAAAGATATAATTCAACATTTCTTTAAAATCTAATATCTCTATATCTTAAAGGGACTGTAAGCGTAAATACAAGTGACCATTCATGCAAAGATGGCATTGTCAATGCCCTATTTACAACGGTACTCTTGAAACCTTATTTTATTGAAAACTTGATCAAACAAAAGTTTTAAATGTATCGTTGTAAATCGGGTATTGTCAGTTTTGTATAGAGGGCCAGCTGAAATTGCGCAAGTTTTTCCAAAAGTTGTCCAGATTCTCGAGAGTCCATCTCTGGCATCCTTGGCACCAATGACCTATGCAAGGGTTGAACTGTCGAAGGAGAAAAAATCTGGCTGAAAGACATAAAGTCAGAAACAAAAATTCCGCTGTTTTGATATTTTTTAATTGTAATTATTTTTTATTTCCTGCATGACTCTAAAATCATCCTAAAAAAAAGATAAAAATGTTAAAACTAAAAATAGGATTAATATCACAATTCTACTAAAGACTGCTGAAAATGGTAAAAATTAAGATATGCAATCACCTGAAAGTATAGTTTGTGTAGAAGCTGTGAATAGTTTCAGTACATAAATTCATGAACAACTCTTCTAGCTCATGTACACGTTCATACCTAGTACAGTATAGATTCATGTACAACTATTCTAGCTCATGTTCATGTTCATACATGGTTCAAAATATATTCATGTACACCTCTTCTAACTCATGTACACGTTCAACCATAGCACGATATATATTCATGTACACCATATCTAAAACTTACCAATTCTAAGGCCCGAACATATCTAGAACTTACCTATTCTGAGGCCCGAACATATCTAAAACTTACATATTCCAAGCCTGAGCATATCTAGAACTTACTTATTCTGAGGCCCGAACATATCTAAAACTAACCTATTCTGAGGCCCGAACATATCTTAAACTTAACTATTCCAAGGCCCGAACATATCTAGAGCTTACCTATTAAGGCCTGAACATATCTAGAACTTACCTATTAAGGCCTGAATATATCTAGAACTTGCCTATTCTGAGGCCCCAACATATCTAAAACTTAACTATTCCAAGGCCCGAACATATCTAGAACTTACCTATTAAGGCCTGAACATATCTAAAACTTACATATTCCAAGCCCGGACATATCTAAAACTTACCTATTCTGTGGCCCGAACACTTCTAAAATTTACATATTCTGAGGCCCGAACATATTTAGAAGTTACCTACTATAAGGCCCGAATATATCTAGAACTTACCTATTCTGAAGATTGAACAGTGAACATAACTAGAACTTACCTATTCTGAGGCCCGAACATATCTAGAACTTATACATTCTGAGGCCCGAAGATATCTAGAACTTGCACATTCTGAGGCCCGAACATATCTAGAACGTACCTATTCTGAGGCCCGAACATATATAGAACTTACCCAATCTCAGGCCCGAACATATCTAGAACTTACCTATTCTGAGGCCCGAACATATCTAGAACTTACCCATTCTGAGGCCCGAACATATCTAGAACTTATACATTCTGAGGCCCGAACATATCTAGAACTTGCACATTCTGACGCCCGAACATATCTAGAACGTACCTATTCTGAGGCCCGAACATACATAGAACTTACCCAATCTCAGGCCCGAACATATCTAGAACTTACCTATTCTGAGGCCCGAACATATCTAGAACTTACCCAATCTCAGGCCCGAGCATATCTAAAACTTACTCATTCTGAGGCCCGAACATATCTAGAACTTATCTTTTCCAAGGCTCGAACATATTTAAACTTACCTATTCTGAGGCCCAAATATAACTAGAACTTACCCATTCTGAGGCCCGAACATATCTAGAACTTACCCATTCTGAGGCCCGAACATATCTAGAACTTGCCCATTCTGAGGCCCGAACATATCTAGAACGTGCCTATTCTGAGGCCCGAACATAACTAGAACTTACCCATTCTGAGGCCCGAACATATCTAGAACTTACCCATTCTGAGGCCCGAACATATCTAGAACTTACCCATTCTGAGGCCCGAAAATATCTAGAACTTACCCAATTTCAGGCCCGAACATATCTAGAACTTACCTATTCTGAGGCCCAAGCATATCTAGAACTTACCCAATCTCAGGCCCGAACATATCTAAAACTTACCCATTCTGAGGCCCGAACATATCTAGAACTTACCTATTCTGAGGCCCAAACATATCTAGAACTTACCTATTCTGAGGCCCAAACATATCTAGCACTGCAATGAAGGAAGGTTTACTCCGTATCTTGATTGACTCCTGGCTCTGGTTTAAATCTGTCCTGGAAGATTTCAAATCTCCAGGTGGAACTAGAGGATAGCCTTGGAGTCCTCTCCGGGTCCAGGACGGACTCCTCGCATCCGGAGAGGACGAGGAGGATGAGGTATATGTTGGTTGGGTTGAATTTATTCTTTTCAGAATAGATGTCAGGGTTCGGACATACAGAGCGTTTATTAATCCGTCTCTTCCCTTCTCAAACTATAATAAAAAAATTTGAAACAAAAACAAAAAGTTAACAATTTAGCATTTAATTTCAAATGTTTAAAACAGTTCTAGCTATTTTCAATCAACAAATACACAATTTGATTAAACGATAAGTCATTTTATATGTTTATAAGATTAGGTATTTCAATGCTAATTCTTAAATTTACTCTCAATTGTAAATCAAATTCATTTTGTATTGTTTCGCGAAAATTTCTCATTTCGTTTCCTGGCGGAAATTTTCGTTTTTTTTCGCGAAATTTCGCTTCAATCTGTTTCGCAAAAAATGCGAAATTTTCGCGCAATAGAAAATACGAAAATGCGAAATTTTGCGAAGAAAATAATGAGAAAATTTCGCGAGAAATACAGAATTTTAAAGACAAATGCAAAATTTCAGCGAAAAAGTTGTGAAAATTCATCAAAAAAGACAAAATTTTAAGGCTCATTTTCAAAGAGGGATTTATCTCCGAACCCAATTTATGGATTAACACAAAATATAGATACAGCTATAAACGACTAGGAGACATCAGACATTTCGAAAAATTTCGCATTCCGCGAAAATATTTTCTCATTTCGCTTTTTCGCGATATTTTCGCGACATTTCTTTCGCAAAATTTTGCTTCGTTTTCGCTTTATTGATTTTTGCAAAAATTTTCGCATTTTTCCGCGAAACGTTTCGTTCGCTGGAAACCCTAATTGGGACACCATTGTTATAAGGCATTTCTGATATTTAAAAGATTGGCAATATTTTGTTTAAATGTTAAAAAAATGTTAGAAATTTAATGTTTACCTCATATTTCGATTTATTGTCAATACATTCATCTTTAATGAACCTTTGCCGGCTTATCAGACCTTCATTAACAATATAATTAATGGGTCTGTACAGAGGGGCGAGTCCGATTCACATAGAGTATTTAATATTATAAACCTGTAACAAGAGATCCATGTTTATAGAGTATTTAATATTTTAAACCTGTAACAAGAGATCCAGGTTTATAGAGTATTTAATATTATAAACCTGTAACAAGAGATCCAGGTTTATAGAGTATTTAATATTGTAAACCTGTAACAAGAGATCCAGGTTTATAGAGTATTTAATATTATAAACCTGTGACAAGAGATCCAGGTTTATAGAGTATTTAATATTGTAAACCTGTAATAAGAGATCCAGATTTATAGAGTATTTAATATTGTAAACCTGTAGCAAGAGATCCAGGTTTATAGAGTATTTAATATTGTAAACCTGTAGCAAGAGATCCAGGTTTATAGAGTATTTAATATTGTAAACCTGTAACAAAAGATCCAGGTTTATAGAGTATTTAATATTGTAAACCTGTAACAAGAGATCCAGGTTTATAGAGTATTTAATATTGTAAACCTGTACCAAGAGATCCAGGTTAATAGAGTATTCAATATTGTAAACCTGTGACAAGAGATCCAGGTTTATAGAGTATTTAATATTCTAAATGTGTAACAAGAGATCCAGGTTTATAGAGTATTTTAATATTCTAAATGTGTAACAAGAGATCCAGGTTTATAGAGTATTTAATATTGTAAACCTGTAACAAGAGATCCAGGTTTAAGTCCAAGAAGTCGAGAGATGAGTAGCACAAGAGGATTTGTTTCATAACAATTCTCTTTCTTCAGGTTTCCTGAACACATTTTAAAATTTGATATATTTTTTTAAAATCCTTTTTCAAATATTATTTCACCTAGATGAAGTATAGCACTGAGAACTTGAACTACATCTCTAAAAAATGGATGAATTTTCACATGTCGATTTAGGGGTTAAAAATTGAAAACACTGACATTGATTTTGGAGATTTAATGTTAAACAAAATTCTTATACAAGGCAAACAATTTACTTAAATAGAATTTAAATAATATGTATATTTGATACGGCCTAATAATTTAAAGGGACTGTAAGCGTAATTTCTAATTAACCTCCATGCAAATATGAAAATATCCAATTCACAACGGTACTCTTGAAACCTTTCTCTAAGCAATAATATGGAAGATTTAGTCGTTTTTAATTTTGCTAATTGCAATATATTTTCAGCTGTTGAAATGCGCAAGACACTTTTGTTGAAAAAAAACACAATTGAAATAATCGGGTTTCAAAATTATAAATCTAATTCATTCTTGATGGAACCGTTGTTAATCAGGCATTGCCATCGTTATATGGAGGGTCACTTTAAATTACGCTTACAGTCTCTTTAAATGCGTAAGCAGAGGCGATTCCATTTAGGTTTGTGATACTTTTTGTAGACAAAACTTTGTTTGAATTCATCAAATTCCTGAAGTTAATCCCCAGAACAGCCAAAGATTCTCTCCAGGTCTTGAATCTATTTGAATACTCCTCCTCCTCCTCCTTACACCCTCGTGGCTCTAGGCAATCCCGGAGAAGTATAAAGTCCTGAGTATACCTCCCAACCCCTAGATCTATTCTCTCACCAGAATTCAGCCCTGATACCATAGATGATATTTTACAAGACGGCCTCTTTTTTCCTTTTTTATCAAAGCATCCGTGTAAAGAACGTAATTTTAATTATTTGAACTAAATTTCTTATTTTGGAAAAAGTGCACAAATTGTAAATCACCGTTTGGAAATGAAAAAACTAAATTTTAATCAATGTGACACAGGATATTTGAACTCTCAGTATACATTCAAACCGTCTTGTAAGATAGAATCTTTGCCTGAGACAAGTTCCAGAAATATATCCAAGTTTCCCTCACCATTGCGGGGCCGGGATATCCGGGACTAAAGTAGAAAAAATAGACAAATAGAAAAAATAGAAAAATAGAAAAAAATATATATGGAAAAATAGGAAAAATAGAAAAAAGGTAAATGGAAAAATAGAAAAAAATAGGAAAATTGAAAATGATATCTACCATATCATCTTCTGGTATATCTACCTGATCAAGAAAGAAAGCATGTATTCTTGTTCTATTAGATCTACCTGATCAAGAAGGAAAGCATGTATTCTTGTTCTACTGGATCTACCTGATCAAGAAGGAAAGCATGTATTCTAGTTCTACTAGATCTACCTGATCAAGAAGGAAAGCATGTATTCTTGTTCTACTAGATCTACCTGATCAAGAAGGAAAGCATGTATTCTTGTTCTAATAGATCTACCTGATCAAGAAGGAAAGCATGTATTCTTGTTCTTATAGATCTACCTGATCAAGAAGGAAAGCATGTATTCTTGTTCTTCTAGATCTACCTGATCAAGAAGGAAAGCATATATTCTTGTTCTACTAGATCTACCTGATCAGGAAGAAAAGCATGTATTCTTGTTCTTCTAGATCTACCTGATCAAGAAGGAAAGCATGTATTCTTGTTCTACTGGATCTACCTGATCAAGAAGGAAAGCATGTATTCTTGTTCTACTAGATCTACCTGATCAAGAAGGAAAGCATGTATTCTTGTTCTACTAGATCTACCTGATCAAGAAGAAAAGCATGTATTCTTGTTCTACTGGATCTACTGTCCAAACATTGGATCAACCGAACCTAAAAATATATTATTTCTACAATATACTGACAATTTAATAATCGTTATTAATCTAATTTATTTTATTATTCTACAAACCATTTTTGAAGAGTGTTGATTTTTTCTATTTCTAGCTTCTCCGAAGGGTCTAAATATAAAATACAGGGGTGCATACGTTTTCATTGGAAATAATCACTAAAAAATATATTTAAGACGAAAAGTCAATAAATTTAAAAAATCCTGTTGTCATTAAATTCTCATCCTTTGTGGGTGACTCTGTATAGTGGATGTTTATACCTAAACATTAAAAATTTTTGAGTAACCTGAACAGTTCATTAAGAATTGAATGGGCGAGGACAGATTTGCCGGAGCCAGATTCTCCGGAGATTATGATACTCTGAGAAACCTGTCTCTTTCTCTCATCTCTAGATTATTAAAAACTTGATGCTTTGTTTGAATTGATGCGATTGTAACACAAAAAATTCCAAATTCTTGATATTTTTTTTTTAAATTGGGACTTATTATGTAACAATCTCATTTACAATAAGAGATCGATAAATGTTTACAAAGAAACATAAGAAACATGCAAAAAAATATAATATAAATTATACAATATATTTAGGTTCGGGAATAATGTTATTTTTTTATTTTTGTTGCCTTGCCTTGCCTTTCCCACATTTGCAATAATAATAGAAATTTGCGGATTTTCCGTTTTCATTGGTCAATTTCAAATACGGTTCTTGTAGAATGGCATGTCTGATTGACAACAGTACCCTGAAAGGCGTTGTGTGCTCAAGGTATGAATGAGATATCCAGGTTTACAATTTTTAAAACTGATTATTTTCAATTTTGGTTTCTTTACAAGAATGACTTGTACTTCTACTGAAGAAGAACAATGTAGGAATTATCGGAATAAAACACTTTTTAGTTAGAAAAATTACGTTTAGAGTCGCTTTAAGATAAAGAAATGAGAAGCAGGGTTTCCAATGTTTCCGGAACAATTTGGTTCCGGACCAATTTCTTGAAGCTGTAGTAAATTCTAAACTGTCTGCAACCTTATTGATGAAAACTTTTTAGCTCAAATGAGATTACATCTACACCCTACAACCAGGTGTGATGTTCTAAAAACAAGTTTGTGCATGTCGATCACTCTTTATGGAATTGATCGGGAAAAATCAATTCGAATACTTTTTGTTGAGCAGGTCACAACTACCTCTTGTAGTTTTCATAGAGTAGAATTATTCGTTAATTGTTAAAGAAGTCAACACCCTGAAGTTTTTAATAGCTTTTAATAGCTTTTAATAGTTGTGCATTCTTAATAGCTTGAAGAAAGGTTCCGAGCCTAGATACATTAGAATAGATTGCAATAGCAAGATGAATTTGGTTCTTAATAGCTTCAGGAAAAGTTCCGAGGTTCTTAATAGCTTCAGGAAAAGTTCCGAGAGTTTTAATAGCTTCAGGAAAGGTTCCGAGGTTACAGAAGCAAGTTAATCCGTAAAAAATTGGAAACCCTAATGAGAAGATTTAGAATTTACAAGATTAAATATTTAAATGAAGAATATTTCAAACATTTGCCAAACCTCTCAGCATGATATTATGAATATAAATATATATATATATATATATATGTATATATAAATATATAGGAAACAGATGGAATATATACTAAACACAACTAATCACTTTTAACCACGGATTAACCAATAATAGATACAATTAATCTTCCAAAAATCTACTACCATTTACATTGCCCCTTTTTGCACGTATACATGTAAACTGGAGATATTATGTACTTTTTTCTCTTTATCTTCTGATTTCTTTCCAAACAAAAGATTAATTGTCTATTTGTTCAATGGTACCCATTACCATTTGAGCATGTTTATCAATATGCCACACAGTTAGTTCCCATCCCTTTCACAATTCCATCCTCTTCCTATCTCACATTTTCCAAAATATCCAATCGATTTCAGACCATAATACAATATTTCTGTACCGATATTTTATTAATGAAACAGATACAGTTAGATTCTTGTGAATATGGTTGGATACTAAATTGAACTTTAATGACTACTTTAAAGGCAATTAACTTTTTCACTTTATGCTATGAAAAAATTTAAAACTTCTAAGCTTTGACATGCACCATGAAATTGCTTTATAACTCCTTTTTTACTCTCGTTTAGAATTCAGTTCAACATTTCCAATGCTAACTTCAAACAAAATCAAACATAAAAAATGTCAAAAATTGGTGCGAATTAAAAAGATGCTTAAAAATATCCGTTTTGCGTAAAACCTATATATTTTCACAACCAATAAAATATATTTTATTTTTTTTAAAATTACAAATAAATCTATCATTTTTATTTCTAAAGTTGTTAGTTCATTATCGAAAAACACTAACAATCCACCACTAGTTTATATTAAATATAATGTAAACAATAAATACGTAACTTTCCATTTCATTTCCTTTCCATTCCTTTTCCTTTTATTTCTATTCTTTATATTTTTATTAATTGAAAGGAAATATTCCCACAACCTCTATTTTTGGAGGTTTTCAAATATTTTCTCCTTAAGCACTTTATTTTGTATGTTTTTTTTATCCCTTCTAAACCTTCTATCCCCCCCGAGCAAGTAAACCATCTACTTCCCTCTTAAACCTTCTTCTTGATCTGTTTAGTAAACTGCCTGTGAACGATGTGGTTTAAAAACTAGTCAAGTTTGGTTTATACTTGTGGTTAAACAATATATATTACCTACAGTATGTTGCACTCTTTAAAATTAGGGCATTTAACATTTTTGCCTTTTATCCCTTCACTATTCCCTTCCTCCTTCCTCCCATCCCCTAACCCCTCCTCCCCCTCCTTTCTCCTTTATCCCTTTATGAGATCAGAATTCGAATAAACCACATATATTACATTAAATTTCATGTTTTTAGAAAAAAATTTTAAAAATTAGAAATAAAATTTAAAAATTCTTTTAATTTTCAAACGATTGCACGTGTTCGTCTTGTTATCCAAGGTTTTTAAATTGTAAAGCATACAACTAATATATCTCTGATGGTAATTAGGAAATTCTAATTTGATTCAAAAGAAAAATGTAATAATTCATTTTGTGGAAGATAACTTTAATTCGTAAATCGGAAATGAATTATGAGTATTAAACATTTTAGGAAACCATGAATTGCGTGTAAAATGATTGATCATGATTCTTTGAAAAAAGAATAACGGTTTTTACTAGCCTTTAATAGGTATGCCTTTTTTATTTTAACAGTTGATACTCTCAAAAAATCATTAGATCGTAGATTTAAAATGTATTAACTAACATTACCGTAAAACATTTTTGACAAAGGATTGAAGAACGTCTGAGCTGGGTTGGGACGGATACAGTCTAGATCCGGGGTATTTTCGGGATACAGGGTGACTTGAATATCCAGACAAACTTTCAGCAGGGTGTCCCAAACTAGTTGCTGGGCAGAGAGATACCAGGTTGGGACCAAGAAACGTCTTAGTAAAACAAAATTTAATTATTGATCTCTACTTTTAGTTATCTACTCTTTGCTCTCTGCTCTCTGCTCTCTACTCTCTATTCTCTACTCTCTACTCTTTGCTCTTTGTTCTCTACTCTCTACTCTCTACTCTCTACTCTTTGCTCTCTGCTCTCTGCTCTCTGCTCTCTACTCTCTACTCTCTACACTCTACTCTCTACTCTATACTCTCAACTCTCTACACTCTACTCTCTACTCTCTACTCTCTACTCTCTACTCTCTACTCTCTACTCTCTACTCTTTGCTCTCTGCTCTCTGCTCTCTACTCTCTACTCTCTACTCTCTACACTCTACTCTCTACTCTCTACTCTCTACTCTCTACTCTTTAACCTGAAATGTATTGTTCTGAAGTCTAGAGCTGAGAAGGTTTAGAACTGCAGCTTCAGTATAAGGCCCCAAGATTTCCATCAAATCATCCTTCATCTCCTCCCCGTTCTTCATCTTATCCATCCCGTTCTTCATCTTTCTTTCATCCAACATTCTTGTATTCTTTCGACTATTTATCTCATTCCTTTTATTTATCAGCCCGTTTTGTCTGTTTTCACTTTCTCTCCATCCTTTCTCGTTATCCATGGTATCCTGTACCAGTCCTTGATTCAATCCAACCTCATGAAACGGAGTTTTTACTCGAAACTTCTCCGCTTGTTTCCGTCCTGTGTTTAAAACAGGACCTGGAGCTGGTTTTCTCTCTGGTAGGGCGGGAGGTGGAGCTTCTTCAATCTGATCCGAGGGTGGCGGGATGTTATTTACGGAGGGAGTAGGGATGTAATTTACTGAGGGTGGCGGGATGTTATAAGTGGAGGAAGGAGTAAAAAAAACAATGGTAATATGAATAATTTATATATTTTATAATTTTTTTGTAGTCTTTTCCTGTATGAGAGAAATTATATTTTCGTGAAATATCGCTTGATTATTTTCATGATCAATCGATTGATTTTGAATTTGATTCATTAGAATTGATTTGGTTGTAGAAGGCACGATTAAAGGTTTGACTTGCTGCCTTATTGTGCCATTGGATATACTGAAAATATTTATGTTAACAATTATTCATGCTTTTTACCCAATTGGAGGGGGAGGTGTATTCCCCCCCAATGTTGTTCCTCTACATAACGTAATATGTAATAGCGACTTGCACTAAAACAACTTCTTTACCTTTTCAAGCTTATAATGGAGAACATTATATAACAAATTTTTTACAGTTTTCTGTTTTTTTTTTTAGTAGATGATAGACTAGAGTAAATGACAATGTAAACGGAAAATGATTCAAGTTTTTTTGTTGTTGATAATTCGGGGTCAAAAATGTGTAATCCTTCCCCTTTCTCAACTCCAGGGACAATATCAATAGTGGATTCATCCCCCCCTCCCCTTCTATATTAGATGAAAATAACCCAACCAGATAAGGTTAATGAAGAGGTAGAAAATACCTTTTTTCAGATGCTCTATTTTGGTTTTCTGTTTTCTCATGTTTTCTTTCTCGATTTTTATCAAAAGGATCTAAATATAAAACAAATTATTGAAAAGGTCATTTTTGCATTTATCCATTAAAAAACATTAAAGGAATTGAGTATTTGCCACAAACTCTGATTTTCTAATCCCTATATCTTCACAACCCAATGTCGTAGACCTTAGATATTTTAAACTAAGAATTCTGTTCGATCAAAGTGTCTAAGTTTGAAATCTAAAAAGTTTACACCATAAGGTTGCAAAGATACAGAGATTAGAACTTTTGAGTCTGTTGCAAAGACTCAATTTCTTTCAGATTCAAATAGCTTTTTTTGTCAGTGATTTCGACAAGGTCTACAAGATATATACAATATACACCTACACTAAGAGTATCTAAGTATAACTGAAGTATCACCGGAAGAATTAAAATAAAACCTTTGTAACCAAAGATTATAATTCTTCACAAAATACATATTTTTAAATGTTTTTGTCCACAATTCCGTAGAAAAATGGTATTATCTTTAAAATTTGAATTCTAAATGTGAAGTGTGTTAACCCCTTACAAGAGATCAAGTAAATCATCAATTAATCAAGTTAACATAGTTTCAGCGAAGGGAAACCCAAAGTATGATATACAGGGTTACCCACAGAATACGAGACTTCAGGTACGACTGTAGGAAAATTGTTCAGTCTTTTTTAACAATCAGATGTGAGGTACTTTCCCAAAGGATTTTTCCCAAGTGGCAACTTCCTAAATGTGCAATTTCCCAAAAGCGACAACTTCCCAAGTCAATCCTATCTGCGGCACTCGGCCCCCTAGCCTATCCTAGCCGTAGCGCTCGGCCCCCATTGCAGCCCGCAGCGCCTCCGAGGGCCTAACCTATCCTTTGGGATGTTGGGAAATTGCATATTTTGGAAGTTCGCCACTTGGGAAATTGTCACCTGGGAAAATGCTTTTTGGAAAGTACCTAACACCATTTCGAGGAGGGAGGATCATCAATTTCAATCTGCAGATTTTCATATTTTAATGAGTTTTAGGTAGTCATTAAAGTCTCATCTTTTGAGTGTTACCATAGAAAAAGGCACGAAAAAAAATATTAAGAAGAACTTTAAGTTCTTAAACTTCCAAAGGTTTGTACAAGCTGCCTGATTAAGACAACATTGTAAAAAGTTAGATTTATGTAAATATGTTTCAAATAAGATTGAAAGTTACCAAAAATGTTTGTATAAACAGCTTATAATATTTATTTTGAGGTTTTGAGGTTGAAATCAATGTGAGGTTAGAAATATCAAGGTCAGGTTATTTCATCTTAGTTTTCAACAAAGAACAATTTCCTCCCCCCCCTGGACCAACCAGACAGAGATGTGTTTTGATTCAAAAGCGCGTGTTTTGGTCTATAATTCAACAATTTTTAAACTTACGGAGTGAGTTGTCTTTTTGAATTTTAAATACGCATATCCATACATAAACAGTATAAAAGTAAAATGGCGTCATGCCAAATTGTAATCGATTTTAGATATTTTCACAAAAACATTTTCCAAAGGGCGACCTCCCAAGTGACTATATCCCAAATGGCAACTTCCCAAATGTGCAATTACCCAAGTGGCAACTTCCCAAAGGTTGAGTTAGGCCTTATGCGGCGCCGTAGGCTGCAATAGAGGCCGATGGTTTAGGGGGACGAGCTCTGCGACTAGAACATAAAAGGAGGGCCGAGCATTGCGGCTTTAACAGATATTGGAAGTCTCACTTTGGAAAATGCCTTTAGGAAAGTACCTAACATCTATTGCTAAAGTGAAAAAGATAAAAATGCAACAAGACAGCAAAAAACACTGAAATTCGGTTGTTATTGGATTGTTTGGGTGACTTCGGAGTGCTGAGTGGGGGGAGGATGTACGTTAAAAAATGTAAAATTTTTGGAAACCGAATTAATTGAAGATTATGGGTAGAGGGGGAAGCTAGGCGGATATTCTAGTGGTAATTTTGAGATCTGGCAAATCCTCCCAAATACCATTTATCTATCATCCATCTATCTATTATCTTTCATCTATCTATCTATCTATCTATAAATGTTTCTGTCTGTTTAACAAACTAGCGATGAACCCATAAACATTAAGAACACAGCCTATCATTATTTACACATCAGGAGCCCTCCCACCTCCTCCTAAAAAATTTGAAAACAAATCCGTACCAACAGTTGAAAAATTTTCATTCTCCATTTTCATACTTGTTCCACATCTTCCGGAGACACTTTACAATCTCATTCAAGTTTATATATTCCTGTTTATTTTCCTGTTTTATTCTATTTTATTTTTGTTTTCATGTTCCTGTTCATGTTCATGTTTATGTTCATGTTAGTGTTAATGTTAGAGTTGATGATAATGTTGATGTTGATGTATATACATATGACAATGTAGATAATAATGCTGATTTTAATATTCATGTATATACAATATACATATGATCATATTGATGTTGATGATGATTTTGATCATGTTGATGATTATGCTGATTTTGATGTTATTGTTTATACAAATGATCATGGTAACGTTAGTACTCATGCTGATGTTGATGTTGATGTTGATGTTGATGTTGATGTTGATTTTAATGTTGATGTTGATGTTGATGTTGATGTTGATGTTGGTGTTGATGTTGATGGTACAAGTTAATGTTAATGAAAATAAATATAACTATGATCGTGTGAATGTAAATGTGTTAAGATTTTGTTCCGTATTTATTTTTGAACAGTTTACAATGTTTTCAAATTTGTGTTCTGTTTTGAATTACATGACACGAGATTGATATTTTCCTGATGTTTGATCTCAGACATTTGGATATAAACTCATCAATCTCTTCTGGGATATTAGGGTTGGGGGACCAGAAATTTATATCCTGGGACCTTTCTTCATTCTCAGGAGATTTTAGTGAACTTGCCTCAATGGTCCCAACTTCTGCTTCCACTGGCCTGTTATGACCATCATAACTCCATTTTTGGCATGACCTGATTTTATTGCTATTTGGAGGATTTCGGCCTTTAGGATATTCACTTCTTGATATTTTGATGTCACAATACACTGAGGAACCTATTCCACTATCTGTAGAGCCAGGTCTGCTCTCTTCTATACCACTGTGTACATGTGTATTTGGTTTGCTATTGGTTTGAATTGGATTCTTTAGATAATGTTTATTAAGCTTCTGATTGGTCCTTGTTAGCTGAATTGAATTCTGATTGGTTTTTGGACATTTTGGAGGATTTTTATTGGTTGCATTCCACCGCGTGATTTTCTCATTGGATGATTCGGGATTATTTGGTTTGGTGAAATAAGTCTCTTCGAAAGGAAGGCGATAGATAACGCGAGTTCTGCAATTGCTACTAATAGATAAATAACAGTTTTAAAGAATGACTATAAAGTGTAGGTTTTGAATTTTTCCAATTCTCAATTCCGCTTTTCATTTTTATTTAAATTCGTGAAATGATTTACAAATTTACAAATGCATTTAAGTAAGGAAGGATGAATGAATGAATGTATGCACCCATCTAACTTCCTTCTTGTTTAAGAAAGGGCGGATCCAATATATATATATATTGCAAATTTTTGGCTTAAAACCAATAATAGTGCAAATTGACCTAAAGATTCAGTAGATTAGATATACAGATATTTTGCAATATATACATGTATATATTGTAGCTGGAAACCTAAAAAACCCTACAGAAACCTATGGAAACATATAAATTCCTATTATGGAAACCATGAATTGAGTCCTATAGATGAAAACCATAGATGGAATCTCATGGAAATCTAAAGAATCCTATTAGTATCTTATGGAATTAGAAACCTTAGAAAACCTAAGGAAACCTTTGGAAACCAATGTAAACCTAGGGAAACCTATGTAAACCTAGGAAAACTAAACCTAGGGAAACCTAGAGAAACGAAACCTAGGAAAACCTATGTAAACCTAGGGAAACCTAGAGAAACCTAGCGAAACCTAGGGAAACCTAGGGAAACCTAGGGAAACCTAGGGAAACCTAGGGAAACCAAAGGAAACCTAGGGAAACCTAGGGAAACCAAGGAAAACCTCGGTAAACCTAGGGAAACCTAGGGAAACCTAGGGAAACCTAGGGAAACCTAAGGAAAACGAGGGAAAACTAGGGAAAACTTATGGAAACCTAAGGAAATCCAAGGAATTTCTTGGAAACTGGCAGATGTAAACCTATGGAAACAAAAGGCAAACTATGGATACGTAAGGAAACCTAAATGGAAACCAATAGAAATCTATGAAAACCTTTGGAAACTTATGGATGGAATCCTTTGAACATTTTTGGATGAAAAACTATGGAAACCAATGGATGGAAATATATGGAAGCCCATGGATGGAACCCCCCTGATAGATCTGGTCCTGACAACTGAATTTATGACAGCAATTTATGCAATGTTTTGTTTGTAAACAAATGTATGCATAAATATATGCGCAGCGCTGCGCATGAATATCGAACTCCTTAATCCATGCAAAAACTGGAATATTGGAGGGGAAGAGAAATGGTAATTTCCAAGCAGTTCAGTTAAAAAAAAAATTAAATTGATGTTTAATGCATATTTGTTCAAATCTATTCCTGAAAGGCCGATCATCTTTTACAGATCGAAATTTTCGCATTTTTCACTGAAATTTTTTAATACATTTAATTTGTTGATAATTTGTGTTCTGTGCGAAAGATGTACTTTGCTGTTCAATGTTTAGTGTCTCAGAAATATTGATACAGTGAGAACCAGATAATTGTGGAATGAACGACTTTGCTTTTTCATTTTTTAATAAATGTCGCAATGGATTTTTAATTTGCAATCTGCAACGGATTGATCTATAGAATTGGGCAGTTTGCTTCTTAAAAAAACTTTAGTTGCAATTTGCAAATTCATGAATCCTTTGCGAGATTTCAAATAAAAAGAACACGAAGAAGATTCCACTATTTTCTGGTTCTCACTGTAAGTATCTGGTGTCTAATATCTAGTGTCTAATATGTTTTGGTTAGAATGTGATGTCCAATATATTGTGTAGA